TTTAGGGTTTGGGGGTTTAGGTTTTGGGGTTTAGGGTTTAGGGTTTGGGGTTTGGGGTTTGGGGTTTAGGTTTTGGGGGTTTAGGGTTAGGGCTTTAGGGTTTAGGTTTTGGGGGTTAGGGTTTAGGGTTTGGGGGTTCAGGGTTTAGGGCTTTTACGTGTGGGGTTTAGGGGTGTAGCGTTTAGGGTTTAGGGTTAGAATTTGGATACAGGTTTTTGCACCGCGAGTTCAGGATTCGTATGTTGAACGAAGACGTCAGCCCCCCCTTGAACTTCTACTCCTCCTCATAGCCTTGACAGCTGCTAGTCTTCGCAGTCCACCGTGGCCGAGCGGAGTTGCAAAATCAAGCGGGCTACTAGCGAAAGCAATCCACGGCCCGGTGCCCACACCTCGCCAATGCTAAGAAAGTGACACTCGACGGCGTACTGCTGCTTAGAGGTAAGGTGCTTTGGCATGAACCCTGTAAGTCTTATGGACCTCAAACCGTTATCTTTGCACCCGAAGCTTGCAACCTAACCTAGAAGTCCGAAGCCAGCCGCGACTTAGCCTAAACCCGAAGCACTAAAGCCCCAAAACCCTAAAGCCCTAAAGTCCCTAAACGAACCCGAAAGAGACACTTCAAGGAGCCTTTGAAGGAGCCCTGAAATTAGGGCTGTTGGTTTACGGGTTTAGGTTTTAGGGAGTTAGGGTTTAGAGGTATAGGGTTTAGGGTGTATTGGCTTAGGGTTTAGAGGTTTAGGGTTTTGGTGTTTAGGGTTCTCCTGAACAACTGCCTTGAGGTCGTTGCTTCCGCCGAGGGCGAAACAGGGAAGATGGTACAGGCAGGGGTTGGTTTTTGCTTGGTCTTCAGAGGCTCTTTATAGGGTTTCATCAGGGTTCCATGAGGATTATAAAAGGCTTAATATATATATTTTTTATCTTCTATACATGCACACACATTCCGGGTTTTAACGGATGTATGGTTGCCGGTTTAGGCCTTGTTGGTTCAGCTTGATGGCTTCCGGGAAAGGCCAAGGAAAGCACCTTGATACTGTTTCTTTTTCGGGAGCCTGATCTAGTTCACAATCATGAGGGGCGAACCTTCTTTACTCCGCGCGATTGGGGTCTACATGTGTAATGGTTTTTCGTGTTATACTTACATGGACTTGAACTCATAGTTTAACTTATTTTGTGCTACACATACATACCTCTGTTGTGGTAGCCGGGTCGTGGGACTTACTGAGTAGCTATTACATAGACTTATAAGTATTGTAACTTATAGCTCTACTTATGACCTACTATTAAGTCCTCCGACCCTCCAAGTGATGTCCTTGCTGTCTTCATTACCGTAGGCGCTGGCAAATTGTGAACACTGCTTTTCAGTACTAGGTTGATACTAGAGGAAGAAGAAGGACGCAGGCGATGATGATGATGATGATGATGATCATGCACATGATCATCATCATCGTCATCATCATCGGATCCCCAACTCGATCTAGAACCCGAGACTAGAAACCCTGGACTTAGGAGGAAAAGTTGAGGGGGTTGGCCCCTGCAGGTGTCTGTGTCGCACCTCGCAGCGGTCCAGGCAAAGACGTTCAGACGGGACGGCGCAAATAGGGCTCGTGGAAAACAGGGAGTGTGGGGTTTAGGGTGTAATTGGGAAGGTTCGTTGTGAGTTTAGGGATTAGGGGGGTGGTGGAACCCTATGTCCTATGTGTTCCCAGAGGTGAAGCCTTCGGCCGCCTCGGAGCCACTTAATATCAGGAGGCTGCATAGGCCATCCCCGCGATATCACCACACAACCGTTCCAAGGTACTTTTTCGGTGTGTTTTGTATCGTCGTGCTGTATTCAGGAGTTGACATGTTAAACATACTTGCGTGTCTTTCCGTCCCTGTATTGGCGAATTGCGACTCCAACACCTAACGAGTCGTTTCTTGCTGCCTTTGTTTTCTTCGCGGGTGAGAAAGGTGCTGGAACCCTGAACTTCCCTAAACCTTGAACCCCAAACCCTAAACCCCAAACCCCAAACCCTAAACCCTAAACCCCAAACCCTAAACCCTAAAGCCTAAACCCCTAAAAAAAGCCGGAGGTTCAGGCTTCGGTGTGTTTCGAAGGCCTCCCTCAATCGCTGCTGGTGGCCGGGCAGTGCCGGAACGGAGGAGGCTCGGCATGGAATGAAGCCTTAACAAAAGTACGGTTTAGGGTTGAGGGTTTAGGGTTTAGGGGTTTAGGGGCTTAGGGTTTAGGGTTTAGGGTTCTTGGCATAGAATGAAGCCTGAACCCTTAGCAGCAAAATAGCCCAAAGCCCTTATATAAGAGGGTCTTTGGGGCCAAAGAGCCTTAAAATATGAGTCCTTTGAGGGTAAGCGGGTTTAGGAACTGGGGTTTGGGGTAAAGTAGGGTTTAGGGTTTTTAGGGGTTGAGATACAGTAAAGGATTTAGGGTTTTATCTAGGAGGTTTTATACAGAAGCCAAAATATTTAGCAGTATTGATTCTTGGCGTTCCTTAATATAAGCAACAGTAGTATACCCGGTGCAGTGCCTTTGGAGTCACCCAGTTATCATAAGAAAAAGGGAGAGGCTTGAATGCGCCCAGAAAGTTTGGGTTCACGGCTTTGATGTTTAGGGTTCAGGGTTGATGGGTTCAGGGTGAAGCCCGGGTGTAGGGCTTTAGGACTTTGGGGGGTTTAGAGTGTTTGTTGGTCAAGTCTAGCGTGCCAAAACGAGAGTTGCTTGAAGACCAAACGCTGAAACCTAAACCGTAAACCTTTACTTGCAATATGTTGCATTAGCTGTTTTCGAAGGTTTCGGGCTCAGCCTTTGGCTTTGGGAGGCCAACGTGCGGCTTCAGCATTCTCTAAGCATTTTGGGTAGCACAGCCTCTACATAGATCCCCCAGTTAAGCAGCTATGCTATCCTTTGATGCCCAGGGTTGGCGCGCAATTAGGCATAAAGCTCCTGAGTGCTACAAAGCCGGATCCAAGCAAACCCATTGTAGTTGCATGTAGCGTCTCAGCTTCTACAGAACCCCTTCACAACTTTTTTCACACCTAGAAACGAGAAGACTCCTACGCAACCCGAAGCCCTTTAAACCCTACACCCTAAACGTAGCCCCAAACCTTGAATCCAAAGCCTTGCGTAAACCTACAAAAGCCCCTATAGACCCCTATGAATCACAGCTAACACCCATATAAAAGCACCCAATGTAGGGTTTCAGGTTTTAGGGTTTAGGGCCGCTTCCACAAATTTTAGGGTGCGGCACCGACGTTTGCCCGCACTATGGTGCTGGAATGTGTCAAAGCATGGCAGGATGCAGCTAATCGGTGTTTCGGGGCTTTGGAAAATTTTGTCACGTAACTGCAAAGTTCTGAACAAGCAGGTGCCGGGAATGCTGGCAGGCGCAGCAAACTCGCTTGGCCCACTTTTTGCGTTTTCAGGGTGCCTGAGCGTGCAAGAAGGACGTTTGCTCCCAGAGATCCTTCGGTGAGGCTGTGTCCTCTTGATAAAAGTTCTGATACGCCACCACTGCGGCGGCTATCTTCTCGAAACCCAGGTGCTCCTGCGGCAACTTATGGAAGAAACCAAAAGGGAACGAAACTTTAAACCAGCATCTCTCCTGCTGGCCTCGAAGCCAAAAGGCTGAGCTGCTTGCTGTGGTAGAACGGCACAGAGCAGCGACGCAAGTCCTCGAGCTCGGCGGTCTCTTGCTTGAGCTGCTCCTGAACGTAAGCCGGCATGACCGCAAACTCAGAGCTGCTGCCGTCCGCAATTTAAAGTCCGAGCTGCTGACGTCCAGTTGGCTGTAGTCCTCGATGTCGTCCGACACACGCTGCAGCGAGTCCGCTGTGTGCTCCTCCATGTCCACAGACGATGACGAAGCCTCCTCCCCGGAGTCGTCGCCATCACTGCAGTTTTCCCCTTCAGCTTCCAGTCATCGACAGCGCCGCTTCTCCTCTGTCGTCAGTGGTGACAGGAAGATGTCGGCGATGCCAGCTGTGCCACGTGTCCGCAGGCGACGCACTGCCGGAGAACGAGAGAGAGCCATGGCTACAGCACAAGAAGCGAGAACCCCGTTACAAAGCAGTCCTGCAGTGGAGAAAGCCCTGAGAAAGACGACTACCCTGTCTTGCTGCCTGTTGAAAGTCTGGAAGGACAAATGC